ACTTTCCAACTGTGTTTGTAGTTTCTTGGGCTGGTTTGTTTGAACACGCTTTTACCACCACTTCTGACATTGTGGTACAGTGATTAAAAAACGCCACATAGCACGAAAGTCTAGGGTTCGATTCTCTTGACTAGAGTTTGTATGTGTGGGTTTGTCATGTTTTTTTGTGCCTACGTACTTACATATTTCTCCAACTCTACTTTCACAAAACATGCTGGTCAAATTGGATGATGGTGATTGTGTGCATAGTTCAATAGTTCAGCATGCACAAAAATAAATGATGATTATTGTATTATAAAAATGGATTATGATGCCAGTTTTGAAGAGGGTCCTTAAGGCAAACTCCCTAATATGCACATCCTTTCAGAGAGCGTCTAGCACAAAGCACAAAGCTGTCTAAACTGCGCGCCTATTAATACATTAAGAGAGTGTAGGAAATAAAATGGAAAGCTGAAGTTTATTTTGACCCACTTACCTCAGCTGATCCACCAACAACTCAAGCCTGGACTGTTACTGGAGCTCCTCTACAGCTCGCCATTTTGTCTCTCTTCCAAGATCTCTCATAAAGGTTTCATGTGAGGTGTCTTATAAATTATGAGGCCACTTGCAGCTAACATTTAGAGCAAAAAAAATTGAAGACTTTTTTTTTTTCCTTTCTACTCAACTTCTTCTAAAACAAAAGACTACCCAGGCTTTTCCCAACAGCTCCATACAGTACAGTAAAAGTCTATTTCTGATCATTTTTGATATGAACATTACGGAAACATTTATGCCACAGTCGGGGAATCTCTAAGGGAAATCTCAGAGTATAAATATTGATTAGGTATTAAACTTTCACGTGGCATATCTGTATTATTCTATATGACTGCATACAGAACGTCAGCAAGGACAAGAAGAAATCCTTATCTTGTCATTTGGACTTTAAAGAAACAGCCACTGAAGTTAGTATCACGATTGCTAATTGTGAATAATGCAAAACAGCTCATCATTTCAATTATTCAGCTTTATGTCCTGGTTTTTACTTGACAGAAACGTAGCGATGACAAAATATTCCAAGTTGCTCTCATGCTCAAAATGCCAGGATGCGTGTGTAAGAAGCGAGCGGCGCAGCTGTGTCTTATTAGATTTCCACAAACACAGTACACCTACGCACCAACCTAAGTGGATTACATATGACGGATGATGACATTTGGAGAATAGGCTCTTTCAGATTACTCCAATCTGATCTGGAACTCTAAATCAGGACTAATCAGACGCTTTTCAAAGGGGGCCTCAATCACACGTGGTGCTTTTTGGCTCCAAAAGTGTGTTTCTCCGAGAAAAACCCTCTCTTTTGTGAAAGATCATTTTCAGGTTTTTACAGGGGGATTCTGCAGGATGTGACAGTCATCGAAGGCCAACCTGTCAGTCTGTGTGTTGGACTGGGAAGGTGCTTAAAACAACTCGGCACTTGATTGTTGGATGGCTTTGCTTTGGCTGAGTGGTGGTTTCAGTTCCCAGGTTAATTACTTGACACTGTGCAAAGTAAGCATGTCACTTCTGTCCAAAAACATGCATTGTTAAAAGAATAGGCGTTAAACACTTCCCAGAGATAATTAATTTCAGACTGGAATCTATGTAATCCCCCTGCAGCAAAAAATCACTGAGATACAATATGAAAAATAGTTTAGTTTTCATGTGAAGACAGGATTTTTATTACTTGAGATGAATCAAAGGAGTCAGCTGAGGGACAAATAAATGGCATATAAAAAGGGTTTGTGGATCAACATAAAACTGATGCTTTGAGGGGAATATCACCAGTTTAAGTTCTGAAACTTTCTGGATGAAAAGGCCTTGGTGGAGGTCCGTTCTCTTCCCTTGTACTGCTGGTTGATAATGTAAAATAGTGTACTGCTGCTAATAGAAAGTTGCCCCTGACATTACAGAAGCCAGAGTGTAACATTAATTCAAGTGAATGAAGCCCTGTGGACTCTCAGGAGAGCTGCAGATATGGATGTTTTAGATTAGAAGCTCAAAGACATTAGTGACACCAATAAAAAAAAGTTGGCTATAGGAAGACAATGATCCTGTCCAACGCTGTGCTTCAGACCTCACTTTGATTAATCTAGTTAATGACTAGCCCTAGGGTTTAATCCGCTCGACCTCTTCCTCGCAAAAAAATAGAGAAGATTCTTAGTAATTAAAACAGGATAGTGCATTGGGACTTTCGGGATTTAGTGGAAAAGGAAGAAAGGAGTCGGACTTGAGTAAAACCAAACATGTCTTGGGTGAGTTTGTGGACAGTGTTGAGCGGGGGAGGACGCACAGAGCAGCACTGAAGCCTTTGCTAATGAGTCCCTGCAGTCACCTCAGCATCTCTCTCACTTAATTCAGCTGTCGTCTTGTTTAACCACACCATGACCCCCACTCTCCCGCTCCCAATCCTGCTCTGCGTAGCATCGGGTACACACACGCTAGCCCTAACGAGTTATGGCTACCTCGGCTCACATATGACCCATTTCTCTGCTCCTGTGTCCTTGTTTTAGCAGCCTTTAGCCAGCGAGCGTGATGGGTGCCGTGTGGCGTATACTTGCACTACACTAGTGGGTGCATGCCAGGCCAGTGTCACATACACACAGGCTAAATTTAGGACATACGCTGCACTGGGTAAAATACAACTACACTTTGCAACACATTTTCTATTTTCTTTTGGAATATTTTTATAGTTAGTGTGTTAAACAGATGTCTGTTTTCAAAGAGAATAATTTTCTTGTGGAGTTCCATTACTATTTGGAAGTTGTATTATTTGAAAATACTGCATTTAACATAAATAAAAGTACATAAACTACTGACCATTTCTGTGGCAAATCATAAATAATTTAAATTTCAGCAACCATGTGAAGCAAATCTTTCTGGAATGTTCCACAGTTTGGCATTAAACTTTTCTTTGATTTGAAAAAAAAAAAAAAAGATTTAAAAAATTCTTTATGTGAGCTGGCTTTCCTCTCCTCTCATCAATTTCATGCCTAGAGTCATACACTGACAGACTGTATACTAGCAGATTTTGGACAATGTGAAAGTCGTGTAGCAGGTGCACACCAGACCAGTGTCAAACATGCACATAGCAGCTAAATGTAGCCCAAGCATTTCACTGTAAAAATGACTGCACTGTGCTTAAGCCAGCAGAGCTGTTTGACCCGTGTCTAGTGTGAACCAATTAAGGTCTTTATAGAGCGGTGGAGCACCAAATGTAGAGCCCAATCTCCCTTAATACCGGTTAAATACAAGTCCCACAGCTCAAATACACCTCCACACGCCGTCATGGTGTGAGCCCGATTAAGTGATGATAGGTGGCCCACTGCTCCAGCCCATTCAAAGCATTGACAGAGAGATCTAATGGGCATGAGAACTAATTCCAGGGCAAAGGAGATTAAAGGATGCTGAGGAGAGAGCAGCAATCCCCCTGTCTGCAATCCTATTTGGCAAAATAGTATTCAAATTATTTGGTAAAACCTTGGCTGTGTCTTTTTACTCACAATAAAAAACAAAATATCAAATGCTCCAGAATAAAATGAGAGGAGATACAGACAGACAATCAGACAGCATCCAGAAATTTTATCAAAAAGAGGAATGAGCTGTGTGTCCAAAGGCATTACCTGTCTCTCATTATATCATTGTGAGTTAGGCTCTTGTGCTTTGATCACATTCATGCCCTGTCTGTATTGAACCTGTAGACTGCTGTTGGAAATGTGCTGTCATGGACAGACAGTATTCTGAAACAGGAATAATAATAATAATAATACTGATGTCATGATACAATTATTTCATGTGCATGAAAATGGCAACATATGTCAATTACCTGGTAACCTGTAGCTATTATTTAAACAAAATAAAGACATCTCCTACACTAATATGGTACATAATACTAAAACTTTAAGTGAACTATTTGGATGAAGGCTAAATGCTTGATGACTTTTACGTTTGCAATGTTAAATTATTGCTCCAAATCTATGCTGCGATTACTGCCACTATCACTTTGCAACTGAACTTAAAAGGTGTTGTAAATTGCAACAATATAGTAAAATGTAGGTTTGCAGTGGTTACTTCAACTCATTTGGTTTGGATAATGACAAGAATATCGTAATATCTTAAAAGTCTGTGAAAGAATCTTGGCACAAAGTTCTAGTTTAGTAAACGGTTCTACATTCTCAACCTCACAATCTAACTTTCCAAGATGCCATTTTTAGCTTCCGTGCCAATCTACACTTGTTACACTTCCTCTGCACCTTCCTGAATGATTTTGGCGTGAACAGATGTGTTTCTAGTGATGTCGCCAAGAGTGATAATGTTTACAAAACTGCTTCAGCGATTTAACAAAAAGCAATCTACTGGATTGAATGTGCCTAAAATTGCATCCTATTGTTAGTGACGTGTGAATCAGTGATTCACAGGCTAATTTTAGCCACTTTAGCAACTCTCACCTATGAGTGCTACATTGTGAAGTGACTGCCCTATTTCCAGAGACACTCATGCACAGCTAGCTAACACTACCACACTACAGGCTATAATGAGAGTGCCCTTTGAGCAGCGACCACTGGATATATAGATCCAATTGGAGACCTGAGTTCCTAAGGCAACAGGTAGACTGCTTTCATCAATGTGAATGAAAGGACTGTACTGCCCAGTGGCCATTTTCACTATGAGTACTTAGGAGAGACTATTTGTATTATCTGGTGAGTCTGAACAAATATAGTTTAATTAATCTGTTTTTGATCATGTCTTTTCTAGTGTGTGAAAATATTCAAATTTGCTCAATCAATCAGTTAGACTACTTATAAAGCCCTTTCCATATATAGCATGTAAAGGATGGCATAGTGATATTATTGACTCAACTATTATTTTGTGTAAATTGCATTCTAAATTAATTAATATATGAATAAAAATTGGGATTGAGTATCAAGATTTTTCCATCATATCCTAATTATAGTTTAGTATCATGACAATCCTACTTGGTGACTTACCAAAGTACTCTTCAGACGGAGGGTGGTCCATGTCATACAGCATCTTCTTGGTGAGGCGTTCAAGCTCATCTTCAGGGTGGGCCACAGGAGTGTTGCCCTGTCGAGCACAAAAGTCACAGGTTAAATGCTGAAATAATAAGAAATACCAAATTGTTAATGTCTTAAAACATGAAAAACTGAACTAGTTGCTGCTGTGCTGCTTATACAACATGTCTATACTGGGATAAGACAAAGTTTGCTCAACTACAACAAAAACAGCGTGTACAGGTCCTTTAACCCCACTCGAACCTGTGAACAGTGCTGACCCTCCATATGTCCCACTTCACCTTAAAACCAACTTAAATAAATCAGGCTGAAGCGCTGTCTTCAAGGTCAAACACATAGAGGAGTGTAATTAAGATGCACAGGACAGTCCTGGCCCGGCTTTTCCCTTCTGAGACTCCTGACCCTGGCTCAAACCTCGGCCAGAAGGTTACCCACATCCTCCTTTGCAACGCAAGTAAGAGTGGAAAGGTGTAACCCTGACTAATCCTTGTATTTACAAAAAGCAGAAGAAAGCTTTCCTGGCCTGATTTTACCGTGCACACACCTTCGAGATAAGGTCAAAAGCTGTATAAAGCACAAAAGACTTAAAGTAGGAATCGTTTTAAGGGCCTAATCTTTAGAGATGTAAGACGACTTTGGTTTCCTCTTCCTCCTGGTATTATAATGCAGGCGGTGACATCTGCCTGCTGTGCATTCGCTTGACATTTGGTGCCAGTCATTCACGTGGAGAATAGAGCCAATTCTATCTTAAGAGGTGTGTGTCCTTTGGAGACACCCCAGAGACTTGAACCCGAGTCAGTGTGACACCGCTTTGACCTTCCCTAGATCTAAAACAGCCCAGATCTTTACTCTGCATTTGATTTTCAATACGGCGACAGGCCCAGATCAGAGCTAACCTTTGAGCCAGTCCTAATTGTGACATCAGGGAACAGGTTTTGTGCTCACTTCTCTGTGGTTTCGACGACGCATTATAAAGGATTCAGATTTGTCAATAGCAGACGGAGTAAAAATGGTTTTATATTCAGAGTGGAAGAGTAATTATAGAGCAGGTTACACGGCTAATCTGGGGGTATTGATGACGAGATTTGTTTTTGTCAAATGTTTTATTCATTTTAGTCAGTGAGTACAAACTGTGTTAATGACAGCTGCGAATGTGCATAACAATGCTAAAGAGTAGATTCAGTATTTGTTCATCGGGGTTGGCGGTTCAAATGTCACTCAAAGCACTTACCATTTTTGTGTCCTTATGCAAAACATCTTTGGAAAATATGTAGTGTTATATGTAAACGCACAAAACTGACCACGAGCATTTTTGACTTCTCAGAGCTGTATAAAGCGTCACAAAAGCAACAGTCTTACTGTGGAGCTTTGGGGTACTCCAGATTTACTCAGGACTTTATTGGCGCAATGTGAAATGATTAGTTCTTTCAGTAGTATAAAAATGCATCAGGTACTCTCCAACTGCACCAGACTATAGAAGGATAGAGGAACTCATTCTCAAACAGACTCGAACAGTGAGAGATACAGGACTACATTCATACCATACTCCATACAATCTGTCATGTCAATCACATTTTCATCTTTGCATTTCAGCTTTTTTCCTTATGACCTAATGTACACAACTGAGAGATATATTTGCATTACGATATTTCTCTATTTTCATTTTTACTTGCACATATACACTTATATTTAAAAGTAAACTCAAAACATATCTGTTTAATTTAGCTTTTAATTGAAATTTTTACTTGTTTAACTTAGATTATTATCATTACTGTTGTTATTACGTTTGTTTTAAATTAAATTATCATTACTATTTCACTTAGTCTCCACCTCATCTTTTCTCCATTTTTATTTTTACTATAACCTTTAAGAGCTTTATGTTTTATGTTTCTGTTGAAATTGTTGTATATATGGATGAAACAAGGGGGTGGTCATTTTTCTGTTGCATGTGAAGCAATTTGTGCTACATTTCAAATGTATGAAAAGTGCTATACAAATAAGTTTGATTGATTGATATAATTATATATATTTTTGCTACTTATTTTGAATGTATTATTACCATTTATATTTTTGGTCTTTGTTATTATATTATATTATATTGTGATGTGTCAGCTACTGTGTCCAAATAATTTCCCTTGTGGATCAAAAGTTTGTCTAAGACACCCTTTACTTCACAAACATTTTGGACAACAAATTACAACACTAAAGTCCACTATTTCAGGGTGACCAGCATCTCAAACATTAATAGAAATCTGTATAATTCCTTTGTAAATACACACAGGCCTAAATGTACAGATTCCTTGGCATTCCACAGCCACTCATCCACATGGAGCACGTCTCATCATAAAGGATTATCAAGACATGAAAGAAACATTCTTCGGCAGCTGCATATCCCTCTATTGTCACTTCAAATCACATGTATTTTAATAACATACATTGACCGAGACATGTAAACAGTGAAATCATTGAATAAAGAAAGAATTCATATCAAAGCAGGCATTTGCTGTCTACTGTGGACTCATTATGGCCGTGTTGTTAGTTTGAGACATTTAAAGAGTGCGATTTAGTTCTGTTAATCTTAGCTCCACATCAAAAGCACGCGGGAGAGGAGACGAAATGTTGCCATTACACAAAACAGACTTTTAAGTTTAAGCGTCATTTATAGCTTATCCACTCTCTGACACCCTGCAGCAACGCACTGCCAGAGAGTTTAAAGCACCTTGTTAGGGAGTCTTTTGTGACAGCACAGAATAATTTTTCACTTGAATAAGAGAAAGAAATTGCTTCCCCGCGTGCTTTATGATTGCTTCGCAGTTCCTGTTCAGCCTTTCAGAGACAACAATGGGAGCTATAGAGCCGCTATACATGGCACCCACATGATTTTCTGTTACGTGTGGCTCAGTTCTGTAAATTGTTAGGCCATGCCCTCGGGAAGCACTTTGTATTGAAGTTAGTGCTTAAATTTAGCACAGACCAGGTTAACACATTCTTTTCTATCTACAATATATCTTTCTTATATTCTAAATGTAATGACCATGAACAGATGACAAGGCACAGGGATTTGAAGGTTGTATATCAGAGGCTAATCATGACAAAACCCTGTTCCAAATTTGGACTAGGGCTTCAAGATTAAATCAAAATTGAATTAAAATAACAATAGGAATGGACACAATTAGACAATTGAAAATTGCAAACGCTACCGTTTTTGAAGTACCATGTACCAAAGAAATGACCACATACCAAAACAAACAACAAAGTATAGTCTTATTAAGCCAGTAGTTTAGACCATTGCAAACATGTTCTGAAATGTGATTCTTGTATTTGTCAGTTCTTATTTCAGTCTTTTTGTCAATTCTTCTAGAATGTATTTAAAATGTGAACTTTGAACTGAATCATTAAAACATAACTCAAAATTGTAAACACAGTATTTGTCCCAAAAAAGTGCAATTCAATATTTTTCCTAAATCGTACCTGCCCTAATTTGGATGCCTACAAAAACCTAATATAAGATATATTCAGTGTTTATCAAGTCCATAGAATGGCACAGAAAATAAAATTGTTTATTGACATGGTGGGGGGCAAAAAAGTGCAACAAATGTAAAAAATCTAATTGCAAATTCTTAATTATACAAAGCTGAATGTTGTTACCGTATCAAAAACATGCCTGGAGTTGTGTTTTATTTAATTCAAACATGTCTGAGTAAGCTTTATTATTAGTCTGTCTACATCTCTAAAGCTCAAAATACTCTGTTCCACCTTGTGATGTCATATAGTAGTAGTTTTCAAGTTAACAGCTAACTTTTACCTTTTGTTCAGCAGAGATTGCCAATTCCAGGGCTGAAGTGATCAAATGATTCTAGTGAATATGTATGGATTTTAAAAACACAGTGGAGCACTTGCTGTATTGCCATATGGTCCAAAAGGTGGAACAGTGTTTTCCGTTTGAGAGAAGAACTCATTTATATGTAAGATTTGTGTGTTAAACAAGAGAGAATGTTTTTAGATGAGGAAACAAAGTGATAACATAGATCAAAAGAAAAAAAAAAGGGATGAGCGCCAAAACGATAAAAATCAAGAGAAATTTCACAAAAGGAAGTGCAGTTTGGTGTTAGCTGAAGTAAAGGTGAGTGAACAGAGCCGCACTGATAGCTGCTGCCTGCCACATCCATAGAACCACCCTCCTGCTCGCTGCCCGGCGTGGGATTGGCACAGTGTCAGCTCTGGTTAGGCTGGGGCTCGTGGTGGTGCTCTGATCTCACCTCTGGCCAGGACACATTTGTACACCTCAGGCTCTGAGTCTCTACCGCGCTGGTACAAGCTGAACTAGAGAGACAACTGCTCCGCGGGCATCACTTCCACCACTCAGAGCAGCCGAAATCAAGGGCTTTACCTGCTCCAATAGTGTTATGTCAGGGTGCTTCAGATGACACTACAACACGGAGATGGGAAACGTGCTGTCAAATCACGTTCTAGACAGGATGAGGGGAAAACAAAATGGAAAACAAGGCCGGTGTGTGTAGGATGTTAACAGCTGGAGAGTTTTCAAATTACAGATTTTATTATGTAATTGTGCAAGCTGTTTCATGGCATATCTTTTTTTTTTTTTTTTTTTAATGAGGTGCACTGCGCAACTTTTTGGCTGGGGGTCTGTCACCTCCTTGTTTGTACAGGGATGTCATTGCTTTGCCTGGAATGTTCCACAGTATGACATTAAACAGCTTTACCTTACATTTATTCAAATACAGGTGGTTTTATAACTCAAAAATACCTAGAAAAAAAGGCTGACTGGGAGCAGTGCTGCCTCTTCACAAATCTGACCTGTTACTTGGTCTGGTTTGGTTTCCATGAGGATAAAGAGGTTCACTACCACACTATGAAACCAAACAAAGCAATAACACCTTCATGGAGACAAGCATTTGTTGGACCCTCCACCAAAAAAGCTACACAATTTACCTTTATTTTTGTGACTTTGATTTTTGGCTGGACATTCATATTTGACATCTGTGAATTATTGCTTTGAATAATTACTGTTCTGAGGGTTAGTGTTCTTTT